AAAATAATGCATTTGAAATTTTTTATTACACTGAGCATTAGATTTGTCTATTTAAAAGCTATACAGTTGCCATATTAATTACATTTTTATTGTGAGTATAATAATACTATTTCATAAATCATATTGCATCAGGATTGCATTGATTAATACTATTTTATAATGTATTGAATAATTCTTTTATCTAGCACTGGGAGAGTGTTAAGGGACCAGTAGTACCTGCTAGTGTACAGTGGCCTGTGGAGAGATGTTATCATGCTATTTCTAGTATCATCAGTGACTCACCTACACTAGTATTGATAGGTGGAGAGTGTAAAGATGGACTAGTAAATGATAGTTGGTTACTGAATACTAGTCAGTACCAGTGGAGTAAAGTATGTGTATGTTATTAGTTTACAGTGTACATGTGTGTGATACAGTGATTGTACGGTAGTTGTCATGTTAATGTTGTGTATGTACAGCTATATTTGCACAATTTTTCTTATGACTACTAGATACATATGCACATATTAGTGCTGTTTAATTGTCAGATTTTTACTATCTTATTATTCAACAGATTGTTCTACCTGAATCTGTTACTGGTAGACAGCTTCATTCCTTATCATCAATAATGATGAGTCCAGACTGTGTGTGGTTGGTGGTAGTGGGTGGATATGGAACGGTTGAATGGGAAAATGTAGGAAGAGAATATAAGCTACCATTTTCTAAACGAATTACTGATCCTATTATCACAATGTTATTGGAACTAGGTAATAACCAAAATGTATTTTGTATTGTATGTACTGTATGGATGGAAAAGAATGGTAGGTAATCGAAAACTATGAATCATATCAATTGTCATTTATTTTTTATTATGTACGATATTGCACATGTCTTTGTACATGTACATGTGCATGTAGCTCCTGACTCATGCTCATTTCTTACTATTCATAAAATGCTATTGCATGCAACATAGTGTAATAGTATGCTTTAAATCTCTTAGAGTGTATTTTAGAGTAAACTACATGTACATTATTATACTAGCTGTGTTTACAGATTATGTACATGATCTTTCTTTAGTTTTAAGAGAAGGTCAATGGAGAGCAAGTGAAGTACTAGATTCTACTGGTCTGATTGCTGAGGCCTATCAACACAAGTATCAGTTATTATTAAAGAACAGACAATGGTGGCATGATCAGTTGATAGTATACCCTACAAACAGAGAAAAAAAACTGCAAAATTATGTCCAATCGTTGCAGCAGGAGTTAAGAGTATCTGAGGGAAACAAGACCTCACTGCAGGAAGCACTCCTTGAGGCTAGTCAGCAAGGTATAGTCCTCTACTGTGTGTATGTTGTGTGTCAGACTGTTAGTAGTTATTGAACTTACATACATTGTATACTTGTACTTGTATACTGCTCTAGGAAAGACAACAGCAGAACCAGTAAAAGAAACTAAACGAACAATCAGTCATGGTATAATCCTTACGTTATGCTATTATACATTTATTTTGTGTAGAAGAGATTGATAAACTTAAAGCTAATGTAATAATGCTTACTGAAGAGAAACTACAATTACAGGATAAATTAGAAATATCAACTAGTGGTAAGAGTATTGTTGTGTATATTGATACACAACTTGTATTGTTTAATTTCTTAGAAAATGAGACATTTAAAAATGAAATTTCTGACAAAGATATACTGATTGCTAAACTGATGAAGAAAGAGTCACAACTAAAGGAAGAGTTGCAGTCATTAAAAGATATTTCAATTGATACTAAGAGTATTCAATGTGACTACTGGACTAAAGCAGGTTAGTGTAGTCTATTGTTTAAGTATTAATAATAATCTGTTATTGTATAGAATTACCATTTGATGGTGTGGTAACATTGGGTAAGAAGGTGTGTCTTTATAATTCTAACAGTAGTCATGAGTTACAGTTGGATGAATGTGGTCTTACCCTCTCTCTACCTGATGGAATCTTCTCTCCAGTGGATAGCACTGTCTATGAAGCTGCTGCTCAAGGTCTATGGGGAGGAGATTTTGAGTTCCTTGGAGGCACACATCTGATCAGTAGTGTGTGTTACATATCTGTGTC